TTTTTAACAGTTTGTTTTATAGAATTATGAAGATTGATGGGAAAAAATGATTTTTCCAGAAATAAAAACAAAATTACTTTATCCACAATTTTTTTCTCCCTCTGAGGAGAGATGTGAAGTAGAAGACCAGCAACCTGTTCTATCACTTAAGACTTCCAGCATTCCTGACTTTCAAACAAAGAAATTTCTGTTGCCACTAGTTTAAAATAGAAAAGAAACTTGGAGTGAAGAAAGAAAACCCAGGATTTGGTCCAGTTCAAACTCTTCCTTATGAATTAGTTATTCAAAATCATATTGTTGATATTTCTTAATGTGGTGGTAATGAACATTTTTGCCATATTACACCAAATGTTGAGGGTATGAAGTTTTTTGTACTTATTTTGTGCTTGCTTCTTTAGTGTGTAACTAAAGGAATTTTCCATACCAGTAGCTGAACCCTTGAAAATATTTAAAGTACAACTTTAAAAAAATAAACCAATAAACCTTTTTCTTTCCACTTAAATATGTACCCTTTAATGATTTGAAACCTGTTTTCTTTGAAGTTTTCAGCTATAAATTGTACTTAGTTTTAAGATATTTCCCCTTAGAACCTACAATAGTATTTCTGAGGACAAATTTTCATTTAGAATATTGTTAATAAATCTTTCATAAGATGTTGGTGGAAGAATAAAGTTAAATGTTGAGTTAGAGTATTAAATGTTATGCTTTATGCTATGTCTCTTGTTAAAGAAGTTTTAAAGCTTCTGCTAAAGAACTTTAAAATTAGCCTTCACATATCTTTAAATATGACCAAGGTGGTATGGTTTAAATATAGTTGTTATTTGAGATGAGAAGTAGAAATGGAGTTTAAGGATTAATGAACAGTTTTGAAGAATTTTATCTAAATGGTGGAAAACATTGCCCAGCATTGGTGAATATAATCACTGGGTTCTGGGAAGCATACTGAAGTATATTACATGTTTTACACTTAAAGATCTTAAAATCTTGTTGAGTTGTTAGAGCTAGCACGTGAAATATCAAATAATGCAAAATCTGTGAACTCATTGTGAGTATAATAGAAGTGTCTGACTGGAAGAATTGAAGGCTTCCAGAAAGTAAGCTGACCCCAAAGTCTTGTTAGGATGCACTCTGGGTAGGGCATTTCCAAGCAAGGAAAAAACCCGAGCAAAGGTAGACTAGGATTTTTCGACTTTACAATGATGCTCACACAACCATTCTGTTTTTCACTTTCCATACAGTATTCAGTAAATTACATGAGATAGTCATCACTTTGTTATAAATAGGCTTTGTGTTAGATGATGTTGCTTAACTGTAGGCTACTGTAAATGTTGTGAACACATTTAAGGTAGGCTAAGCCATGATGTTCAGTAGGTTGGGTGTACTATATTAAATGCCTTTTCAACTGACAATATTTTCAACTTATGATAGGTTTATTGGAACATAATCACACTGTTAAGTCAAGGAACGTATGTATACAATATAGATAAGGAAGGGTACACTACATTTGTGAGCGCGCGCGCACACACACACACACACACACACACACACAAAATCTTTGAGAACAGGATAAAGTCATTTGGGCTGTCATAGAGAATTCCTCTAGAGAAATAATGTGAGATGACATCGGAAAAACTAGATTGAGTACAGATCATGGCTATCCTTAAATGTCAGGGAAGGATTTTGGCCTTCGAACTAGCCATTAAACATTTCTGAGTGAGAGAAACTCAATGTACCAAGTTATATATAGGAAGAGAAATCTCAAAATTGGATGAATGAATCCAACTGGAGGATTGAGAGATGAGGGGTGGTTTGATCCACAGAAGCTATTTCTTATTTTCTATTTTTTTTTGAGATAGGGTCTCACTCTGTCACCCAGGTTGTAGTGCAGTGGCGCGATTATGGCTGACTGCAGCCGCGACCTTCTGGGTTCAGGCAGTCCACCCATCTCAGCCTCCAGAGTAGCTGGAACTACAGGTGCACGCCACCATGCTAGGGTAATTTTTATGTTTTTTTGTAGAGACAATATTTTACAGTTGCCCAGGCTGGTCTCCAACTCTTGGACTCAGCGATCCATCCACATTGGCCTCGCAAAGTGCTGGGATGACAGGCGTGAGCTACTGCGCTTGGCTACAGAGGCTATTTCAATGGGACAATCATAGTTATACAGACACAATGGGCCTTCCAAAGGACACGTTCCCTTCCATATGTTTAGTATGAAGAAAAAAATTAATTACCAGGCTTAATAATTATCTAGTTTCAAAAGGAAAAGTTAAAGACTTTGCGGTGTTGAATATGGGGGAACTGGGAGAATTGGGATCTGTCTGAAAGAGATTGGAATGTAATGGGGAAGTGGCAGATCTGGTAGGAAGTTAAGAATTTCTGTTCTAGACTTGAGAATTTTGTGGTAACAATGGGATGAGAAAGTAAATATGTCCAACAAGTAGTTGAAGATGGAGCTTTGGTCATTCATCAGATATTTACTGAGCATCTACTCTATGCTAGGCACTTCACTTGAAAATGAAGGAGTAGAGACACCAAGGAGGGAGACGTTCATTATGCCAGAAAGAATATGTGGAAGTGAGGGCCCTCATGAGACAGGACACATAGGTTGTAAGAAGAGGAAGGATGGCTTTAAGATGTATGGAAGGATAAGAAAATGTGCCAAGTTAGAGAGAGTTAATGGCGGCGGGGGCGGGGGGATTGTTTATTTAAAGTCATCTGGAAACCTACATTGGAGAAAAAATTCAGGTTTGTACCAGAGTCCAGTATATGGAGTTAACTCCCTTACACCTCCCTAAGGGGATAATCAGATTTGCAATTTGAGGTGGAAAGCATTGCTTTGCGTTGATGAACCCAAATTATTGTTCTTGTTGTTGAATATTGATGTAGAGATGTTGAATATGCTAATGCTAATGGCAGAAGACCAGCTAGAGCAAAATAATCTAAGACTGTTAGCTGAGAGAAGGCGGGAGTAGTTAGAACTTTTGACACCAGGGAAGTAGGGACTGTAGGGAGAATAAACAGGAATTGGGTATGGTAGGACACGTGCCTTCAACAGTAATGAGAGCTTAGAAATGGCACTTGAGTACAAAGGTCCATCATCATGTAACTTCCCTTGCTTGAGTCACAGAAAAAGAGAGAATATAATTTAGCTGGTACTTAGGAACCATGAACATTGTGATACTGTATTTTTTATTCTGCTTTTCATTTATTCAGTGACCTTGAGCAAATCATCTACAAAATGGGGAATAATCAAAGCTGCATTTCCTTTGCCTCAATGAGAGGTTATTAGGATGAATTAACTATCATCTGTGGAGTTGGCGCTCCTTTGTAAAAGGTGTTATGCAGTTCATCCTGCAAAACAATGCTTGGCTAATCACATGAAAACACTGTCATTATCTCATGTCTCTCCTGCATGATAACCCACATTTTTCTTTTGAAACCCACTCACCACCTCGCACCACCCCCAATGAGACCCAAAGCCCTCCCCTCAGCTTTCCATGCTTTCTGTTATATGACTGCTCTCTGTAGATCTAGACTTAGTTCCCATTACTTCCCAACAAGAAATCCCTTTAATTCTACCATGCCAGTCACAGTTCAATAATCAATGATTGGCCAAATTCTACCTGATTTTCATGGTCCTCCATCTTACCTTCTTGGTGAACTTTGAATGTCCCAGGCTATAGAAATCTCTTCCATTTCCAAGCATCTAATATGTCTATTGTCAGTAGTAGACAGTTTAGTCCATGATGTCTATACTGCCTTAGATTTTCTCTAATTATATATACTTGTCTCCCAAACAAGGTTGCATATTTCTTGAAGACAGGGACCATGAATTTCTCTTTTCTTTATACCATTAGCTATGAATTATATGTGAAAGTCTTGGCTAATCACTATACTATAGAGTGGACTTTTCTAACTGTTTAAAATTCTGTTTCTGTAAAAATGTTGTACAATGCTTGCATTCTGTAGACCATAAAGACTAATTTATGTGTGTACAATGTAGACTTTCTATACTTATTTAAATGATTTTCATTTATTATGTGTAGTATGTCTAGCAACATATACTTGTAACTAATCATCTGTCTACATACACCGACGCTCTTGTTCCCTTGCTTTCCACAGACTTTGAGAGAAAAATGAGCTTCATTGCTTTCTTAGTAACCATGGATGATTTCAGACAAATTTGTGTCTCTCCTCATCTCTTCTCCTTTTCTCCTTCCTTCTACATGTGCTTTCCCATGGCTCTTCAGGGTCCTCTCACTGGTGATTTGGACGTATCTATTTCTTGTCTCTTCCCTCTGCCCTCCCACTCCCCAAAAAACAACCATGTAAATGCTTTCCTGTCTGAACTGTCAAATTAGAAAGAATCTGATAATTTCACTCATACTGAGATGCTTTTGATTAATGGCTCAGTACATTACTTCTCCATGGCTATTCACATTTTCCATTTCCTTAAGAAATGGAAATCCAATAGTAGAATTTCAGATATCTTGATAGCAGTTTTTAACTGAGTTCTGTGTTCTAAAAGAGTAGTGGTTTTACTGGTTTTATTTGTTGCTAGAAAAATGGTGTTAGGTGAACAAAAAATAACAGTATTATTAGGTATAATATAACAAATTCCTTTCATTTCTCGCAATTAAGACTCAAAGAATTTCCACCACGGGTACATGTAAAACAATGTCTCTGAAGGAATGGCAAAATGTAACTCATTTTTTAAAAGAACAAAAATCAATACAATACAGCGAACTAAAATTTTGGCCCCTTCTTTTTTTCCTTTTATTTTAGTTGATATGTAATAGTTATACATATTTATGGGATACAGAGTAATATTTCCTTTTTTTAGGAGACAGGGTCTCACTCTGTCACTCAGGCTAGAGTGCAGTGGCACAGTCACAGCTCACTGCAGCCTCAACCTCCCAGGCTCAAGTGACCCTCCCACCTCAGCCTCCTGAGTAGCTGGGACTATGGGTGGTCTCCACCATGCCTGACTAATTTTTGTATTTTTTTGTAAATATGGGGCTTCACCATGTTGCCTAGGTTGGTCTCAAACTCCTGGGGCCAAGTGATCCAGCCCACTTGGCCTCCCAAAGTGCTGGATTACAGTCATAAGCCATTGTACCCAACGGAGAGTAATATTTCAATACGTATATATGATGTCTAATGATCAAATAAGGGTAATCAGCATATCCATCACCTCAAATATTTATAATTTTTTGTGCTGCGAACATTCCAAATCCTCCCTTCTAGCTTTCTGAAAATACACAATAAATCATGATTAACTGTATTCACCCTACAGTGCTGAAGAACAGAATTTACTCCTGTCAAGCTGTAATTTTGTGTCAGTTCACCAATCTTTCTACATCTTCCCCTCCTGCTTCCCTTCTCAGGCTCTAATACTCACAATTCTAGTATCTGTTTTCACATATGCGTGAGAACATGAGGTATTTATCATTCTGTACCTGGCTTAACATAATGTGCTCCAGTTCTGTTCATGTTGCTGTGAATAACAGGATCTCATCCTCTTTTTACAGCTGAATAGTACTCCCTTGTGTATACATACCACATTTTCTCTATCTGTTCTTGACCCTATCTTCTGTGCATTTCTCACTTGGTCATCTGCTATTTTAGACTAAAGTGTTAGATGGCAGGAACCACATCTTTGAATTAATGTTTGTAGAAATAAAATATTTATTGAGGATATTAACTAATTTCTCTCAACACTCCTATGACATAGAGTGATTCTGTAGGAAAATGCCTTCAAATTTGAATTTAAAAATCAAACTATGGGCACATTGATGTCCAACTCTACCCATGATCCTCTTTGTTGTCCCTCCCTAAAACCACGTATGACAGGCAAATAACCTGACATGAACATTCAAAGAAACCAGAAAACCGATATATGGAACAGACCCCGTCCTCCATTCCTGCCCGCTTCTCCCTACCACCCATCACTAGTATATACCTTACTGGGGATAGAGCTACAGGATGCATCTGAGAACTCCCCTTCAGGCTTTTCTGGACTTGTTCCAGCCTTTCTCTGACAGCAGCCTGCTGGCCTTTCGTTTCCTCCATTTATCATAGCATCACGGGTTAGAATGATTTGTGTCTTAAAATATCAGATTAACCACTGGTATGTCATAGCTTTGGATAGTCTGGCAAAATTAGAACAAAACTGTGGTTCATACTCCCTGGGCCCCAGAGTAAACAAAACTGTAGACAGCTTAGATGAAAGAGTTGAAAATAGTCTAATTATCTTTTTCATGTTAACTTTCTCTCTCTGTCTTTTTTTTTTTTTTTTTTTTTTTGGTCAAGCATCTTAAAAAAATATGCCATTGAGGAAATCAAAGGCATTGTGTTTTTGCATTTTTTCTCATTAAAAATGTTTACAGAAAAAGTTTTCAACATTTCTTTGTGATCCTTGTAACAGAGATTGTTTATTGTTAGCAGTGTTTTAAAGTTTTCCCTCTCCCCCTTATACCTCTTAAAGAAAAAATGGGGAAAAGAAATCTGTACAAGTACAAACCTATTAATTTAAAATACAAATGACTGAAACGTTTTGAGTTCAAATCAACCATCAATTTTTTTTTCAGTTTATTACATAACAATAGGGTGTCTAGCCAAAGAATTAACAGTTGCTTTGAATTATACAAAAAGCTTCCCGGTATCAACCTAATGAAGTTTTACTGAATTCGAAATATGTACCACACTACATGTGTTAGGAAATGTCTAAGCATGCTAGTGAATTACTCTACCAGGTTTCAATAGTGCCTGGTAACACGATCCTAGGAGTGGATTTTTGGCAGGTGGAGGAAATACTTCAAGAACATCTAGAAGCATCCAGATTTTTCTTTGAAAATGCATTTTTGAGTTGCTCTGTTAGTCTCTTTTTAACCCTTCTCCCCACCTTCAGCTTTCCACTAAACCATTGGCTTTGGGACATATCACTTTACAGTATGTTATATTAAGCTAGGCTTGACTGCTTGATGCACTATAGTATAAATAACAAGGCAGTGGGTGGTGGGGGAGAGATGGGCAATATAGATAATCAGGTGGAGCATAAGTTGTTGTTAATGCAAGACAGTTTGGGGGAGCTGAGCCAATAGAAACCATAAAGTCAGAATTTCTTCCCAAAGCCTCTGCCTCATTGTTATTGCTGCCCACTAGAGCTGGGAAAGTTTCTAAACTCCCTGATCTCAATTTCCTGCTGCCTGCCTTAACTTTAAGCAGAAGCACAAAAGAAACCAATCAGCAAAGCATGCACACATGCTACTAAGTATGATGACAGAAAATAGAACTTTGACCTGTTGTGGTTAAAGAGACTAAAGTCAATGTATCTGACAGCCTCAGGAAAGAAGCGTATTTCAAATGTATGCTTTTTAAGTGCTACTGACCCCAAGGGAAGAACACTTAGCAAACTCATTAATTAGGGTCCTGTTTGTGTCTCTAGTTTTAATTCAAATCCTTTGTTTGAACTTAGCAGTGAACCTTCTTATGTGCTTGTCAGTAAATGGTAATATATTGGATTTTCCCAGCTTGGACAGTGGTGACCCAGGTTTAATGTTTTTACACACTGAATTTACGTGGTTTAAGCCAGAAAATTATTAGCAGCAAAGTTTGGGAGGCCTACTTTGGGTAGTACAGAGTGCTTGCTGCCTATCTTTGAAATACAAAAAATATTAGAGAGTCCTTGAGCTCAAGAAATTTATACTCTAACCAGAGTGACTAGACACCTACACATTTAGAAATCTAACAATGCAGAGCAATAGTAATGAATCCCAAATAAGACAGAATCTGATGTAGAAGTGTCCATCCCAAGGAAGACTGGAGTAAGAAAGGAAGCTATCATTTATAGAATACCTTTCTGCTAGGCATTCCTGTTTTGGTACTCCACTACATTACTTCTCGGCAGGATGGCCTTCAACAGATCTTGAAAAGAGAGTAGAAGGTAAACAGGAGAAAAGGCACAAGGGGGCGCACACAGGTTCCTTGTATAAGAGAGAATTGTGGTAGGTACCTATCGGTATAAATTGTTAGGGCTAGATCGTAAAAGGCCTCGATTGAGACATTTATTCTTTATTCAGTCCATAACAAAGAGGTCCCCCCTCCCCTCCCCAGATAGTGGAATGATGGAATAACCTCGTTTATTTGTTTTGGAACAGTACATTCCGCTGTTGGAAACCTAACAGGCTAGGTTGGAGATAAGGGAAGGCTGGAGGCTTAATTGATAAGGGTTTAATCAGGAAAGTGATGGTTAAACTGGAGCATGCATGAGAAGCACCTAGAGGGCTTGCAAAAACACTCACTACAACACCCCAGCCCCAGAGTTTCTGATTGAATAGATCTGAGGTAAAGTCTGTGAATTTGCATTTCTCAAGAGTTCTCAGCTGCTCTGCTGGTTCTGGGGAGTACTTTAAGCACCACTCAAGGATGACTTCAACAGACATTGGCGATCCCTTAAATAAGAGAAGAGAAAAAACATGATGAGAGAAGAGTGGAGTCAGAGATAAGGCTGAGTTTGGAAGAAAATGGGTACATTTTGGGGAATGTTGAATTTGAAGTGCTGGTCACACATTCAGGCAGACACAATCAGTAACACGTTCGTTGAAGAGAGGAGATGGAGATTGGCAAATCTTTTTTTTTTTAAAATTATACTTTAAGTTCTGGGGTACATGTGCAGAATGTGCAGGTTTCTTAAGAGGTATACAAGTGCCATGGAGGTTTGCTGCATCCATCTCCCCACCATCTATATTAGATATTTCTTCTAATGTTATCACTCCCCAATCCCCCACCCCCTGCTGTCCCTCCCCTAGCCCCCCATCCCTTGATAGGCCTCAGTGGGTGATGTTTCCCTCCCTGTGTCCATGTGTTCTCATTGTTCAACATCCACTTATGAGTGAGAACACGCAGTGTTTGGTTTTCTGTTCTTGTGTCAGTCTGCTGAGAATGATGGTTTCCAGCTTCATCCATGTCCCTGCAAAGGACATGAACTCATCCTTTTTTATGCCTGCATAGTATTCCATGGTGTATATGTACCACATTTTCTTTATCCAGTCTATCATTGATGGGTATTTGAGTTGGTTCCAAGTCTTTGCTGTTGTAAACAGTGCTGCAATAAACGTGTGCATGTGTCTTTATAATAAAATGATTTATAATCCTTTGGGTATATACCCAGTAATGGGATTTCTGGGTCAAATGATATTGGCAAATCTTATGTGAAGAGAGTAGATGAAATTGTGAGAGATGAAAACAACAAGATTTCCAGTTACCTTTCCAAGAAGGTGAACTCAATTTTGTGTTAAGTTCTACAGCTTCCAGAATCTCACGGTCACCCATGACTCATGTTTTCCTTGATCCAGTTAGGTTTGTGACTTAGCAAACACCCGTCCTCATCGTCATGTAGTTATCACTGGCCCATGTGTGCTGAAGTAACCTCCTTCAGTTTCTATTTATTGATTTCATTTTATTGTTATATAATTTTATAATAATTTATTGTTTATTTTGTTTTATTTATTTATTTATTTATTTATTTGGTCTGGATAAGCCCCTTAGATGACAAATTCTTACAAATAGAACATTTCTGTGGAATTATGTTACCATGCTCAGTATGGTTAAGTGTTTACTGTAGTAAACAGCTATTAATGCTTTTATCTTCAAATGCAGACCCTTATTAAGAACATGAGATCTGTTTATGCTTATAGTTGCTAAAGTGCAACTTGGCTCAAGTGATATAAATAGCAGTATCTTAAATACCATTATGTAGCAATATTTCCCCCACAGGTAGAGATTTTTAGAACTATTATTACACCCCAAAAGGAAAATACAAACAAACCAGACTTAATAGCTTTGACTGCAGACACACACACACACACACACACACACACACACACACCCACCCTCACCCTCATTCACAATCCTGACATTTCAAAGCCAATTTGTGTTTACATATGTAAATTCCTGGAAGAGAGAGGAAGTTACTTCTGAATCATTAAAGAAATATCAAACCACTTCCTAAATGGTCTTTCTGCTCTCTGAAATATTCTCTATACCTGTCAGATTCATATATTATCGTTTGCCAACAGGTACCTAGTAGGAAAGCTCTGAGTTTAGTTCAAACAGAGGATTAGAACTGAAAATAAGAGAAGCAAGTAGGACAACACCAAACAATGTGAGCAAACTTGATTTACCCACCTAATTCACCAGCTTTGGACTTAAATCACTTTTCAATTTCCAAAATGAACACACAACCAACAAAAACAAGTCCATCCTTTAGAATCAAAGATTTGCCACCAATGAGGATGTGCAAAAGCATGTGATGAAATATCCTCTTAAAAAATTTTGGCCAGGCTCCCTGGTTCACCTCTATGATCCCAGCACTTTGGGAGACCAAGGTAGGCAGATCACTTGAGGTCAGAGTTCAAGACCAGCCTCGCCAACATGGTCCCCACCTCTACTTAAAATATAAAAAGTAGCCGGGCGTGGTGGCTTACACCGATAATACTAGCTACTCAAGAGGCTGAGGCAGTAGAATCATTTGAACCCTGGAGGCAGAGGTTGCAGTGAGCTGAGATCGCACCACTGCACTCCAGACTAGGTGACAGGGTGAATTCTATCTCAAAATAATAATAGTAATTTAAACCACATTTAATTACCACTAGAATCCCTAAGTGACTTTCTTCCTGTTCAGGGAATTAAACTTACTTGGATGTAAAAATGCTGATATGTTTACCTTATACCTCACACTTTATTACAAAGTTTTTGTTGGGGAAAATGATAGATAAATGGGTAGATGAATGAATGTATATATGCACTCTCAATGTGTATTGCCCATGAAGTATATTTTACGTTTGAAAATACTTTTAATCTATTTTTTAAAAAATAAGGCTCAACATTTGCCTATATAGTTTTTAATAAACTATGCTAATAGTAGATGTAACTGTTTTTTAAAAGCAGAAAAATGCATTGTCAAAATAAAAATGAGTAACGGAATGGTCGATAAGTTCAAGGCGCAGAAAAATATCATTTGAAAGTGTCATTTAAGAAGGTCTACAAACTAAAGGAAATCAGTGTAATTTATGTAAAAAATACGTATTCAGTAAAAATTGTGGTGTCCATGGACTTGCTAAGTATTTTTATTATGTGGAAAATATATAGAATTCTCTACCTCATTTAAAACCTCATATACTGGAAGGTAAAAACGTGAATATGTATCTATGTCTAAATATATAATAGCATTATCAGGATTTTACATATGACGCATTTTTATTGTAACACATGTTGCACGTTTATTGTGGCTAGTTCTTTCTACCTTTGCTATTTAAACTCTTAGTATTTCTGAAGAAATTGAACTCACAGCAGTCTATAACATACAGAGTACAGATAATGGGAAATAGCTTTTAATGAAATTCAATACCAATGTTAAGCAGTTTTAGCGAATTAGGACTGAATTGAATATTATCTAGTAGTATACTTATGAAGATTTTCAATTCTTTGCTTAATTTCTCCTGTAGAATAGTCTTACAGAGAATCATTGCATTAAAGGAACTGCTTTTGATAAATATTAATCTGTTTACGTGTTAGTAACATCAGAGATATGTGGGCAGTAAACAAATGACTGCTACTTCACAGAAACTTGTCATTATTGTCTAAGCTTTTATTTTGAAGCTCAAATTGTTATAAGTACTTAACACTATAGATTCTAAGGGATAGAGAATGGAAGGGACCAGGCATTGAATTCTGTTTCTGTGACAAACAAAATCTTGTACCCGGAGAGCTGTTGTTGTTTTTTTTTTTTTTTAAACTATTTATCTCTTCATGAAAAATGGTGACTGTCATTGAAAGATCTTTTTTATTCTGTCACAGGCTTTTCAAAGGGCACACAAAATGAAAACGTGGGATTCAACTAGTTAATGAATCAATTTTGAGGTTTTAGCATAGGTGACACCTCCATGGTCGTCTTTTTGGACTGTGATTTCTGGTAATAGCAAGTGAAAAAAAAAAAAGAACTATTACTGCTGTTGCTATGGATCTTCTATCTGCTGAGGTTCAGGCATCGTTTTTTGGAGGCTGCGGTGTAAACTCTGCTTAGGGAAGGTAGAATTTCATAATAACAGAGGATTACTGCTGCCTCATGAGCAAACAGAAAATGTAGGTGAGGGAAAAGGTGGTGGACTCTGGAAGAACAGAAAAACAGTATTTCCAAGGAAGGGGAAAAGTAATTCTTTGCTTTAAAGATTCAGAATTCTTTCTGTATTTGTTTAGAATGGGAAATTTCTCTACTTTCTGCAGAGATGAGAAAAAACTAACAGAAAAGGAAATTGGGGAGGTAATAGTAATTCATTTTTTCTTGTTGTGTGTGACTTTTGTGATAAAAGTGACGTTTATATAATTAATTTGTTATGGCAAGAAAATGTCTAAAGAGTCTTTTTGGTTGACAGGAAGCTTATAAAAATTGGGGAAAATATCTGGCATAATGGGAATGGTGATTTTAGCTGCTTTTCTATTTATGATGTGCAATTTTGGTAGAATCTGTATTGGGCCAATTGTTTCTAGACACTTAAAGTCATTTTAGGTGGCCTTTTTTTTTCCATTGGTAGCCAAAATGAATACCTTTCATTAATAAAGAAAGATGCCAGAATATCTGTCACTTGATTTTACTTGGCTAATTTGAACTGCTATTTTGTGGTGAGCAGGGAGCTAAAGAGGAGACTTACTTTAAAATATCATTGTTATTTTTTTCAGTAGGTTCTGGCATTAAAGGTCTCCTTTAGGGAATGATTAAAACAGTTATGTGGAGCATTTCAAGGCTGTGTATCATCTGATATATACTCTAAAATAAGTTTGCCTCATGACTTTTTAGCATTACTTGATTTATGTTTTGGCTGAGTTCTAAATAGTAGTAGTCCAATTACTTTTTTCTAGGAATATTTACAGATATGAAATACTGCATTGTTTATATTATTCACTTTTAACTTTCCAGTGGTTTAAAAGGTATATATGTCTTCACGCTTAAAAAAACTAAAACAACAGCAACAACAAAACCACTCTTTTCTGCATCCTGTTCCAGGTTAGAGACAGTTCTCTCCTTTTGTCCACCCACATGCCTGGGTTCTGGCTCAATCTGTATAACTAGAAGTATTTTAATTTGATTACTCTGGTGTGTATTTTTGATGGTAATGCATCATGAAATTACAGTATAGGTGTGATCTTGGTTGAAAGATAAAGCACATTTTAGATAGTTTTAAAAATTTTATTTAACTGAAAAGATCATCGGTTCATTGTGAAAGAATATTCTTATTTAATATGACCAAGTGGCTTGATACTTCCAGAGCTTGATATTTTTTTTTTCCTGATAGCACACTAAATGATTTCCTCCTAACTAGTAGAATGAATGAAGAATGTAGTGTGTGCTGTCCCACTATACTGTGAAATTCCCTATGTGCTTCTCTGCAAGTGTTAGGATTGCATAGGTAATCCTTAAACTTTAAAACTGAGTTTTAAGATTTTATTCAGGAGTTGGGACTAAGTTATTATTTGCAAAAGACAGGGTACACACAACAATTTATATATCTAAGGGATCAGGTACTCATTCCAGGTAATTTTTTTAATTTGATGTAAATAATTTTTAATTGAAGCATAAATGTGTAATTATGTTTTTACTGTGTGTAATTTGTTTTCTGCTAAGAGGTAGTAAGGCTATAATGTTTGGCTTATGCTTTGGACAAAAGCGAAGTTATTTGAAATTTTGGATTTTTAGGTTCTCCCTGGCAAATATTTTGATTGCCTGTATTTTTGGAAAATAATAATCATCTACCATCTTCCGGTAGTGCTTTTGGAGCTTTGTTAATTGATTGCAGCCTTTCTCAACCAAAATTCCTCATCTGAACCATAAAACAGAAAACGATTTTGAGTTACTGTCTTCTCAGTTCTCTCAAGAAGGACATATAAGGAAGCCCAATTCTAGATGTACCAGAGAGCAGTTAACTTTTTACATACAAATATTCTTTAGGGTAGCAGTGGTCAAACTACAGCTAAGGGCCAAATACTGTCTGTAAACTAGTCATGTGAGACCTGAAAGCTAAGAATATTTTTTACATTTTAAAAGAATTGTTTAAAAAAGATGTGACAGAGACTCAGAGACTGCAAAGTGTACCTGGCCCACAAAGCCTGAAATATTTAGTATCTGGCCCTTTACAGGAAAGGTTTGCCAACCCCTGCCTTGGGGCATTGAGCCCGACTGAGAATTACTGATCTAAAGAAAGAAAGCATTTTGCAGTATTGTCACTGAGGTTGTGGATATAGTATGATAATAGAAAAGATTTTTGCTTTACTAAGGTAACTGACTTGTCTATTGGTTCCATTATCGTGATGCCTAATTCTAGGAAAGACCTCAGATCAGAGTAAATAAGCAGATATATTTTGTTTGCTTTTTAGAGATACACTTTAACCACAGAATTTCACAGAATGTTGTATTGGTAATGACAGTGAATGATAAATTACATTTATATGTTTGCGTGCAGTTACATTTTAATATTTTTCTCAGTTTCTAGAGAAAGAAAATAAAAGTGAGTGAATTTTATAAAGTAATATAAGGGAGGACAGGGGAGAGCCTTAATTGCTCTTATCGGTATTTAAAATTAGATGGCCACATCTATTAGAGAAGGAATGTGAATAAGGAGTGTTAAGTGTCAGATATAATCACATTTGTTTCCTCCTTGTACTGAGTAAGTGTCTTCACCCTACAATTAACATCTCAGGCACCTTGTCAGAAGTAAGGAGAATAATACTTAATCAAAAATGCATTGAAATTATTAGATCATAGCATATGAAATAATCAGCCTCTACCAATGCCACTTGACTACCTGATTTAGTAGGGGAGGTGCCATCCACCATAAAAATGTATTGTATGTTACAGAATTATCAAGGGAAAGAAAATAACCATCAGGCATTATTTGCAGTTTGCTGCTGATTTCCTTCATCTCCATATTCAGTTAATCACAAAATTCTATCAGTATTTTTTTTTCTGGAAAATATCAGACATCATCCCTTCTTTTGTCACGCCATTCTTTTGTCATTAAGTAGACTCAAGGCTGTGTATAGACAGGATGCAGTTACCTAAAACATAACCTTTATTTTTTTACTCATCTGCTGAAAGCTTTCAGCGGCTCCCTACTAGCCTGACTAGAAATTCTGAGAAAAGATGAGTCAAGCCAGGCTTGCTGAGATGATCAGGAAAGGCAGTGCTAGATAGCTGAGGTGGCTTTCAGACTGGGGGTAAAGAAGAGAAAGAAAGGGATGAAATTAAATTAGCCAAGGCAAGAAAGAACAAAGGAAATTCTAAGGTAGTGTTTTCCAAAATGTTTTATGAGTCCTTTTGGAGTGGGCAGTGAGGATTTGTTTGATGAATGGTACTTTTTCTCTGGTTGGGGTTGTAAAATGATAAGGTATAAGCCACCTCAAGTTGTAGATCACCGGTCTTTTTTGGTAGGCACTGTTCAAAGCATTTTAATTACTTAGCATTGCTCATCAAGCTGATTTTGGCTATGGCAATTTAAGAACTAATTAAGGAACTTTGTCATTTATCTCCATCCTGAGGTTACTTATTTGTCATTGCCCTCCCCACTCCACCCCCAGCTACAAATCACTCACTATAAAATAAAAAGCCAAATATTTTATAAGGGTGACTTCTGGTTCTAAAATCTTACTGCTTTTTAAAGTTCCTAAACAGACTACATAGCATTTTTTTTTTTAAGGAAAATGATTAGCTTTTTACATGTACTCAGATTTAGTATTAGATGTTGATTATCCCAGTTGGAGAATTGCAGTTTTGTTAAATTGATTGCTAAATAGACAAAGACTGTAAATATCAACTAATATGCTTTGTATTTATATTAGCAAAAATTATCTTAGTCATATTTGTGTGGAGACGATGGAAATTGCTTCACGTTTGAAATATTTGTTAAAAGACTCAGCTCATTAGTAGATATCTCATAATTTCAGTAGCATTTTCTTCTTTATTTGAACATTTAATTTGTCAAACATTTCATTTGTGCTTTGGTAATTTCAGCAATGTCAGCACAGATCAATGAGTGCAAAAACAGGTGAATTTGTACCTCTGGAGATAGGAATTAAAATATTTACAAGTGCTACGACAATGTGGACAACGGGGTGAGATGGAGATAGGTTTCAGAAATTTTAGTTCAAAAAAAATTGGGAACCTTCAAGAGGAGATTAATCCACAAGTAGAAGAGTCTTCTAATCTGGAATTATTTGGGAAAATGAAAATATGACAACATTTAGTGCCTTTTCCCCAAAATGAATGGTACTCCCTGTGCAAAGGAAAGGGAATAGCAATAATAAAATTGTCAATGAGATTGCTCAAATCTCAGCCCTGTATTGTTAATGTAAGCCACTTTCTCACATATATTGACTGTATTGTGGTGCACAGTACAGAGCTTTTATGCTCATTTGTAATAGTTCTTCTTAGATTCAGGTACAACTATTTCACATACACACACCCACACTTACCATTTTATGTGTATTCTTATTTACTAACGCACTGTTCCGAATCTTTAAAGAATTAGGGTAACAAAAACTAACAATAAGCATTTGTTTAACCCTGTACACATATGTACACACATAAACACAGACTTTGATGATATTTTTCACTTTGGGGAAATTAAAAGGTGATTATTGAAAAATTAGAGACCATTCTTTTATTCAATAACCTCCTCTCTTTTTGCCATGATTAAAATAATTCGCTATTGATGCCATCATGCCATCAGTATCATTTTCTTTTGATCATAAAATGTTAAAGCCAGCAGGACCCAAGAGATAATTTTCCCTAGTTCTACAATTCCATTGGGTAACTCTTAATAAATACTGTTTGATTAAATTCGTTCAGAATATAGATTTGATTAAGGAGGAAAATGTTGGAGGGAAATTATTCTGCAGCCACTTTCTCATTAAGAATGAAAAGGTAAGTCTATGTAAAATTCCACTTTTTCAATCAGTGTTAATTTTCTAAAAGAACTCATGGTGTTAATAATTTAGTGCTGTGCTTACAAGCTTCAAACCTATTGATTTTAATTGGAGTTCCGCATCTAGAAGAAAGATAGGCAATGAGCAAATCAATTTTGTTTTAATCCAATGCATTTTAATAAGTGTGCTAAAGATTCACCATAACATTACCTGTGATAGTTCGATATTTGCTATAAGGGACTGCTGCCTTAGATTCTAACCAAAGGCATTTATTTCTGAAAGTACTAGAATGACATCCTTTTATTTTGCCTCTAATATGGATAGCATAAAATGAGGCTCTCAGCG